GACCGGGGCACGAACCCGTGTCCCCTGCATCGGCAGGCGGACTCTCAACCACTGCGCCACCAGGGAAGCCCGTCAATGCAGTTTTATCTAGCCTGTAGTCAGTGGATGACAGTATTCTTCCTAGGTTCCTGCCACAACTGGGCTTTTTTTCTTGGCTGTGTGGGTTCAGCTTCTCAACTCTTAACTGTAGGGTGCCGACCTGACCTCCACTTACCTGGTGTCATCCTCAGCTCAGGACCATTAACTCAGGCCAGGGTGGCAGAGCAGGTGTGGCTGACCTGGGCCTCACAGAGGAGAGCGTCGGCCTGGCCCACCGTCTGAATGAGACGTCCTGCTCCATCCTCCGTGACTCTTCCTGCTGCTGCTCTGACCGGCCCAGGAGCCTCTTGGATTTTTCTCTCTTCTCTAACCTCCTGCTAAACAATTAAACTGGGCCACAGATTGGCTCTAGATAACTGTGTGGCCCAACCAAGCTGCACCCCCAGGACCTCACCGGGCCCCATCCCTGCTGGTTTCCCAGAGCCGCCAACCCCGTCTGGTCCGACGGAGCTTGGACACTGGGTTCTAGTGGCCACGGGTCCACACTTATCAAGCTATACAGTCTCCAAGCTCTGGGCTCTACATCAGAAAAGCTCTGGGTTCAGGGTCAGAGCTGGGGAACCAACCTGGGGTCCAGGACCTCTGTGCATCCTCTTTCCGCTATTCTGAGTTACGTGGGGTGGTGCGGGTAGTTGTGGGCCTTCTCTCTCCTGTGATTCTGAACCTGTATGGTTCGCAGCCCTTTGGCAATGAAAGAAAGTCATGGTGCTACCTGACTTTGGGTCACTGTTTTCTGCATCTGAGAGTCTGTGTGTGTGTGTGTGTGTGTGTGTGTGTGTGTGTGTGTGTGTGTGTGTGCGCGCGCGTGCGCACGCACGCCCTTGAATTTAAAGCCTGTTGCAAAAACAAGGCATCCAATATTTTCTTGTTTCCGATTCAGGGGTTTGAAAGGCAAGATTAAGAAGGAAAACTCCAAGAGGGAGCTGCTTTCCGACACGGCCCACCTGAGCAACACCCACTGCGCCCGCTGCGTGCAGCCCTACCAGCTCCTCAAGACCCCCAAGAGGCAATGCCTGGACTGCGGCCTTTTCACCTGCAAAGGCTGCGGCCACACCCCGGAGGAGCAGGGCTGGCTCTGCGACCCCTGCCACCTGGCCAGGTAAGCCGGGACCTGGAGATCAAGTGGCCCTGCCGGCGGGGGGCCCGGCCTGCCCCTTCCGGGACACGGGGGTGTGTGCCGCCCCACCCGGGCCTGAGCTCTGTGTCTCTGCAGGCTAGTGAAGAGGGGCTCCCTGGAGTGGTACTACAGGCACGTGAGAGCCCGCTTCCAGCGCTCCGGGGGCGCCCAGGTAGCGCGGTCCCTCTGCGGGCGGCTGCAGGGAGCAGGTAAGGAGCGAGCCTCTTCCCCGGGCATCCAGTACGGGGCCCAGACTCTGTCTTTTCAGCACACATTCCCCGTGAGTCTGATGAGATCATCAAGACATAAGAGATGGGCTGTAGCTCAATCGTTTGTTTTAATATTTTGAATCCAAGTATTTATTCCGTGAAGAACTTGAGGTCCAGACGGTGTTCTTACACTAAACGTGTGCTCACCTGTGTTGTCCACCTTGAAACCATTGGGGTAGAGGGATATGTCAGGGGAAGGACGTGAGATTGCCTGAGCTTAGAAGTGCCTCCTGAGCTTGAACGGAGAGAACTGAGCGGTGTTTTCGGGAAGCTCTTGCCTTGTCCCTGTCACCTGAGTCCCAGGCTCTGCCAACACATGGCCAGGCCTTCGGGTTGTGACGGCCTGTCAGGCTGGTATCTGGGGGCTCGGTGTCTTGACCATCTCCATCTGAGGCACCGAGGAGAATGCCCCGTGGTCTGGAGCTCCTGCACATCCCTCGCGGAGGCGGTGCTTCTGGGATTGAGCGTGTCCTCACCGTGCCCCAGCCTGGGCGTCGCCCCCAGGCCTTCTGGAGAGGCACCTTCCTTGTGTCCTGGGCCCCTTAAAGCCCCACGTTGATAGGCAGGTGCAGGAGGTAGGCATAGCCACCCTCAGGGCATTTGCACACTCACTGGGCCTGGCACAGGTGTTTCTGAGCGATCTTAGCACACTGTTGAATTTAGGATAGACCACCGAGAGGCATCCTCACCTGTGATGGCTTTTGGCACCTGGAGCAACAGACCACAGGGGTAGGGGGCTTCCTTGGGCCGGGGGTGCAGGAGGCATGTGATAAATCATCAAAACCAGGACATTTTTTTTTTTTT